TCAAAATTTACCAACATATATTGTCTTAAGAAAGGCATTTATTTTGTTACTAAGATTAGTCTGCGTGTTCACCAAAAAAAAAAAAAAAAGAAGAAGAAGATTTATCTATGTTTATCTTCCCTTTTTTTTTCTTCAATTTTTTCAATCCTCATTATGCACATTTTCTTTTTGGTTTAAATCTTCAATACATACTCCCAACAATTACCAAAATATATAATGGCCAAGCCAACACTTTCTTATAGGGGGAAAAGAAATCTAGTGTATAGTGCAAGAGTCATTCAAATAAGCCATTATATTAGGTTTCTCATAGGTCATACCAATCCATTCTATTTCATTCAACTACTTTAACATTCACCAAAACCACTCATAGAAAAGCTACAAAGACTACTACAACACCCTTTACTAAGCTCCATAAGAAAGAAAGAAAGATTAAGAAAAATAATCCAATGGAAAAAGCAAATGAAAGCAAAAAGTGAAAGCAATGATGTTTTTGTTTTTATTTTTATCATGGTTTATTGTTGATTAGTACCATTTTGCTTCCATCTTGTATGCAAATGGAAAGGAAGCTTTGTTTAAAACATAACTACAAAATGGGGGAGGGAGAAATTTTTTATAAACCCAATAATTACCGAAGACCCAATAAGTAACAGACCAAAAAATTTAACTTTTATCAAAATTATATGAGTAATGAAACAGATGTAATAAAGAAAAATTGTGTGAAAGGGTTTATACCTTTGATTATATCGAGAAACTAGAAATTGATAACCACCAACAAAAAACATAGCACAATATGAAAACAGCAGAAAGTAACAAATTAAAACTTGAAAGAAAACTAATGATTAGAGGGAGAAAGGAAATGACATATTTATCAAAACTTTAATGAAAAATATTATCAAAGAAATCAAAAAAATAAATACCTTTCATTATAGAACTGATGAACTGCGTCAAAAATTGATGAATTGCAGCAAGAATAAATCAGATGTTAAAAATTGATTTATAGAAATATAGCAATCAAAACAAAGAAAAGAAAATAATTAATCAAAATACCATTAATGTTTGTAGACAGTGGAAGGGAAAATATACACGGACGTCCATTATACACGAAGTAAATAAAAGAAAATAACGGTATCTTAGGTGACTTTGTCACGGCTCGAATCACTTTCATAATTCATTATCATCAACATGGATGTCCATACTCTACAGAGTATAGCATTTTCAAAATAAAAAAATCACACCTAAAACACTAACTAAAGAAAAAAAAAATCATTTTTGTACAAAGATAAATGCAGTGATTGACAGCAAAAAAAAAAAAAAAAGACCGTCATTCAGATGTAAAGCATTACCCAAATCAAATTGATTCATTAAAATCCCAATTCAACTGAAACACATGCATAACCAACAAATGAGAAAAAATGTAATTACTTGAGCTTTAAGCACTGCATGAGTTATTGAGTCCAAAAAAGAAGGGAAAAAAAATTAATAAACAAAGATCGAAGTATAGTTTCTATCACAACATACCAATCCACATTCCCAAATAATAATAAAAAATTAGGCTTCTCACATATTTGTACTTTAATGGAGGCTCCAATCACAGTCATTGGCCGAGTCTCATATTCTACAGGATTTAACCACTGTCATCAACATCTATAAGTAAACCAAAAATAGCAGCAAAGTCATGCCACTTGAGGAATAATCAAACCAAGCAACCATATGGATTGAGAAACGTACAGTTAGTTGATAAAGTAAAAGATAGAGGATGTAAATGTTGGACAATCTTCATTGTATTTAAAAATATATATTTTTTGTTTGTGTACTTAACAACAAACGGAATATAAAAGAAATAAAGGAAATGGGAGAGTTTGTTTGATTACAAAAATCAAACTAGAAAATAAAATAAAATAAAATAAACAGATTTTTATTTTGTTACAAAAACAAAATCAAAATCTGAAGCAGAAAAATAATAAAACAGAAAATTAAATTAATTACTTATCAAATTAATTTGTTGAACAAATTTTCTGATCAAGTCTAGTGTTTAACACAGCGCCCATAAGATAGATTCATCCTTTCCACGGTGCTTTCAGAATGTGGACGTCTATCTCCTAGGATAAAATAATCAACAGCAAACAATAGCAGCATTACAAATTATTTGCTCAACAATCACACTAAGTGTTTACACTCTTTCTCATAGAAATTTACTGCAACAAAATGCAGAGATTTATTATAGAGGAGAAGAACGAAATTGTGAATGAAAAATCCAAATGAGGGCATGTCTTATTTACAGATGATTTCATGGTTGTACAGATTTGAATGAACAGGTATGGTACCTGTTCGGTTTGAATAAACAGATAAAAATCTATTGGGTTCAAATTTGGAATAGATAAAACATGTATTAAACAGATTTGAATCTGTCCGGGTGGGGAAAATAAAACCGGAGCCAATTTTGAAATTAATTTTCGAAATTCAAATTTCAAAAAATTAGAATTTAATTTTCAAATGTTTTTGGCCCAAAAAGATAGGTATTTGGCCGGACAAGCCCAACCCAACCACACACCACCGCCCGACCGACCGAATGGACGGCGGCGGTAGCTCGTGCGTGTGTTCATTTTGGGTCCAATGAGTCTAGCCCACTTTGCCCATGACCTCCCTCTCTACTGAACTTGGGGTCTCCTTGGGGCCTACCCCAAGTTCCAAACTCAAGCCTTATAAACCCACTCAAAGTATGCCCACCAAATCAATATGGGACAAGCCATTATTCAAACCTTAAGGAATTTCTGCCAAAAACTCCATTTCCATGGAGCTCACTTTGGCTTCAATTTCCCATACACTCGATAATGGTTTTGAGCAACCAAATATATCACGTGAATCACAACGCGGCATAGAACACATTACCACTTAGACCCGCCAACTTTGGCACATGGGTCCCACCTAAAAATTAGATCAAGGTTAAGGAAAAATCTGATTTTCCAAAACTTCCAAAACCATTTCTAACAATCCCCCACATGAATGGAATTTGATGACAACGAAAATGCAACAATATGTAGAATTTTTTGAAAGAGTATAAATCGAAAATATCCTGCATCAGGATAGGCAGTTTTCGGCCTTGAACCTTACCTAGTGATAACCTATCGGACTTACTAGCTAACCAATAGACTCGATGCCTTGATTTGTTCATCCGTTTGTGTAAGCTAAGACAATAGATTTCACACAAAATATCTTCTGACACATCGTGGTTCTCACGGTTGCGTTCATTTTGGCCTTGAATGGTTCTGGTTGTTCGTGAGTGCTTCTAGAGAATTTAGCCTCTTCATTCTCATAGAACCAGCCCCAGTTTGACACTCATATTGGTGATTCTTATTTTGAGTATCTCTTATACTCGTCTTGTTTTTTATGCCTAAATCAAGATATAAGTAATCATTAAAAACAAAGCTTATCCTAAAACCCCTGCATACAACACATGTTGCAGATATCATTCTCACCATAGGAATGGGTAGGCAATTTTAATCCCTTGGTGATTTCTAGCGAGCCACACATAACTTAGTTGTCCTTCTGAACTTAGTTCTTGGGATCTCTAGTCATATAAGTAGGGTTACCATTATGATGACTCTTATGTAATAGGCTTTAATCCCATCCCCTTTGATGAACTATACAATTGTTCTTTTGTCAAACCTTTTGTCAACGGATTCGCAATATTCTCTTTAGATTTTATATAATCTATTGAGATTATTCCATTTGAGAGAAATTGCCTTACGGTATTATGTCGACGATGAATATGTCGTGACTTACCATTATACATATGATTATATGCCCTACCTATTGCTGATTGACTATCACAATGAATGCAAATAGCTAGCATAGGTTTTGGCCACATTGGAATGTCTTCTAAAAAGTAACGAAGCCATTGTGCTTATTCTCCTGCTTTGTCTAAAGCAATGAACTCAGATTCCATTGTGGATCATGTGTGGATTTCGAAGAAATAGCAGCGCCTCCCAGAGTAAAGACATATCCACTAGTGGATTTTGAATCTTTAGTATCCGATATCCAATTGGCATCACAATAACCTTCGAGTACTGCTGGATATTGAGTAAAGTTCAAACCATGATCACGAGTAAATCTTAGATATCTGAGAATCCGAATGATCGCTATCCAATGGCCTTCTCCGGGGTTACTAGTGTACTTACTCAATTTACTGACTGCATAAGCTATGTCAGGACGAGTACAATTCATTAGGTACATTAGGCTTCCAATGATTTGGGAGCATTTTAACTGAGACATTGCATCACCTTTATTTTTCGATAAATAAAGACTAATATCTACAGGTGTTCTAGCTACATTCATAGCATCCTTGATAAATTTACCAAGAATTTTCTCAATATAAGCTGATTGAGATAATGCATATCTGTCAGATGTTTTAGTAATTTTCATTCCTAATATTACATCTGCGACCCCCATATCTTTCATATCAAATCTTCTATTCAGCATTTGCTTAGCTGATTTGATCATATTTTGACTGCTTCCAATGATAAACACGTCATCCACATAAAGACAAACTACGACATATCCTTGATCAATGTTTTTAACATAGACGCATTTGTCACATTCGTTTATCTTAAACCCATTAGTAAGCATTGCATGATCAAATTTTTCATGCCATTGCTTAGGTGCTTGTTTTAATCCATAAAGGGATTTTACAAGTCGACAAACTTTCTTTTCTTGCCCTGATACTACAAACCCTTCGGGTTGTTCCATATAGATCTCTTCATTTAGATCACCGTTTAAGAAAGCTGTCTTAATATCCTCCGACATGCGTATTTAATTTATTTTGAAAAATCGATGTAACCTAGGTGACGACTACATTTGGTTGATCCTTCATGTTGTCAAGGGAAAACACACACACACACTCATTTTTTATTAGTACACTGGAGGCCGTAGCCTAGGGGGGAAGGGGAGCCTTGTCTCTGACAAGACTTGAACCATGACCTCCTACTGATGTGCAAGGAACCTGACCAATTGGGCTAGCCCCAATTGATACACACACACTCATTTAAATATGAAATATAGCTTTATCCTTTTTTTCCCTTTCATATGATCACACATGATGGATTTCTTTCAGAAGATGGGTATTTTTTGTATATAAATTGTGGTGGAGGACAAACGAAAGTTGGAAACACTATATATATAGCAGATGAATCCCAGGGAGGTGCAGCGACATGGCAAGCAGCAGGAAATTGGGGATTTAGTAGCACTGGACATTTCTGGGATGTCAATGCAACTGCAGGGTACTATATAACCAAAAATGTTTCTGTTCTTACAATGAATGAGTCTCAATTGTACTCAAGTGCTCGCCTCTCTCCTCTGTCTCTTACTTACTATGGGCGTTGCTTAGCAAATGGAAACTACACAGTGACCCTTCATTTTGCTGAGATAGTTTTCAGAGATAATCGATCCTATCAGAGTCTTGGTAGACGAATATTCAATGTTTATATCCAGGTAGTTAATATCACTGTAATTGCACCTTTTATTATGCAAATGGAAACATATTTGGTTTATTGGTTTGTTGCAGGATGAACTGGTTTTGAAGGATTTTGATATTGAAACTGTTGCACAAGGGGTTGACAAGGCTGTAGTTCTAAAATTTAACAACACAGTTGTTAAGAATAAGACTATAGAGATTCGCTTTTACTGGGCAGGGAAAGGGACAAGAGCTGTTCCTGATCGAGGAATTTATGGTCCTCTCATATCAGCTATTTCTATAGAATCCAGTAAGTTGTGTTCTATTTAGGCTTTCTTTGTTTATTTCTCAATGGTGAAACATCATCCTATCCCCCTCATGCTTGTGTTTGAGATTCTTTCTGTTACATTCTATATGATACTTGCAGATGATTGAATCAATGGCATGGTAAAGTCATTCCCCGACTCTTGAGATGAGATCTGAAAGTTATAAATTTGGAAGAAACATAATTTTCAGCTTTATAATGGCCATGATTCTTCTCTTACTAGTTGATTTTTCTTTGAAGTGTCGTATAATTTCTTACGGTAAGAATTTCAAATATTGGTGAGGCTTTGGACAAAAGTTGTCAATTATAGATGCAACCTTATGCATGCTTTATCTGATTTTGCTATGTAGATTTCAAGCCTCATTCTGATCAGAGAAAGAAGATAGTCATTGTAGTTGGAGCTGTAACTTTTTCATTATGCCTCGTTTTCATGATTCTATTTATCTTCTGGCGGAGACGCCATTCAGGAAGCATTACTTCAAGGGAACAAGGTCACTTATTTCTACTCCATGTTTTATTTTTTATTTTTGAAATGCCAACAATGTACTTGCATGTATTCCAGGTATTGCAGAACATAGGAGCAATATATGACTGATGGTGAAATTGTGGTTGTTTGTCAACATTTTAATCGATGGTGGAATATCCTCAATTCCTATCGTCAGAATTAGATGCAAAGCTCAGAGATGAAGATATACGCCCACCGCACCAATTGTACGTACCGAATACCGTACTAGATGAAAGTGAATCGGAGCTCCACAACTGAATGGATTGTCCAAGAACTGCAGACCTACAACACAAAACATTGTCAAGGCTATAAGTGATCGGAGAAGATGGAAAGTACTCTCTAAGTATAGAGAGTCGTGTTTAAGTGAGTATAGTTTAGCTCAACCTGGTTACCTTCAATGTGAAGTGAGTGGAGTTTATATAGAACACTTGTTGTCCAAGATAGTTTCATGAAGCTTTGGTGCTGCCATGTCTCCTCTAGCATTGCTCAAGGTAAGGGACCGCCTGGTGGTTGATAATGAATGTATATACTCATTGTAACCACGTTTATAACCGATCACATTCTCTTTGCTAACTGCTCCCGTGATTCTAGGGATAGGGGACTAGTTGAGGTGGCATCATCCATGTGTATGCATTCATAGCTTCTACATTTCTCTGAGAGGTTCCCTCAGCTCGGCCTTTCACAAGACCGTTTGCAGAAATGGGCTGACCCATTCGGATATCTTTCTGGCGTATACCCGTGTCTGAAGATACGGTGTAAATAATATTAAGATTAGAATATAATTGTAATCCCAATACTATTTAAATTTATTTACACCGTGCCATGCGACTCTTCCCAATATGTTCACGACTACAACAGATACATTTCATTTGAATGGTTGGGATGATTCCTAATCAATATCTAATAGTTAGCATGTAGTCCATATTCTCCTCTTCTTTCCAATATGTTCTCTTCGCTATTAGGAGGATCCTGAAGGCATAGTTAGCATGTAGTTCATATTCTAGCGTATGCCCGTGCTTGAAGGCACAGTGTAAATAATATTAGGATTATAATATAATTGTAATTGCAACACTATTTAAATTCAAGATTAAAATGCAATTATAAAAATATATTTAATAGACTACACTCTGCAATTCCAAACAAATCAAATATAAAAAATAAAAAAAAAATTAAATTAAATACCAAACAATGCATACCAGTCAGTGCTCTGCAATCTAAAAAACAAATTAAAATGCACACCAGCTAATACTACTGCTGCCAATCAAATTATAACCATATAAGCAAAACAAACATTATATTTCCATACACCTAAGCCGATAGTATATGTATGCTTTACAAAAGAGTGGAAAAAAGCTTTACAAAAGATGTGTATGCTTCACAAAAAGTAGATGTATGCTTTACAAAAGATGTGTCAATAACATGTCTTCAAATATGTGTTTACCTAAATTTCATACTTATTCTTTTCCAAAAAGTCTGTGTATCAACTTGTATGTATCCCAAATAAGGAACATGCACAACAATTTGGTAATTTATGGAAGCAAAAAAATATAGATTCGTACATTTGTTGAAAAAATATATATCAAAACACTTTGAGATTGAAATTACCTTATTACATTAATTGGGTTCACCCATGCTTATATAATTGGTGCATAATTTCAACAATATTTTCACCCGTGCCTAAAGGCACTTTCCTTCCAACCACTCGTACAGTTTGTGAAACTCTAAACCTAAAAGGCATATATAGTATACATTCAAACCTAAGTCGAGTAAATCCATTCTTTGATCCAACTTACCCAAATAAGTTGTCAACAAAAATCATCGCATTCATCTAATGGTTGAATGTGGCTAAACCAAAGAGTTATTGCAAAGATGATTAATGTAAAAAGTCATCAATTACATTAACTAAGACAACTTTAAAAATGAAATTGTTGCCCTAAAAATTGGCCAAAGTTAAAAGGATTTGAAAGTCGTTCAATAGCCATTCTAGTATTGATACCTGAAATTAAAAAAAAAAAAGAAAAGAAAAATAACAATAAAGTTAGATTAGATGGATTAAAGCAAAAGAATCTAATTAAGAAAAAAAATGCCTAATGTTCAGTATTTTCAAATCAACGTGACATAGTATGTAATAAACTTTCTAACTGCTCAAAAGCATCCATCATTTATCAGACATCACTTGCAATCACACACAATCCAACTCACTTTCTTCACATGTTTCCTGGTTTAATTTTACTATCTTTACTATGTACTTGACAAAAAATGAACACACATGTTTTCCTTTACTAACTAAACCAGACAAGAATAAACAAAAGCTCTACACCACTATTTTATTGTCCTCATATTCCAAGAGGTTAAAAAAGAGAAGACAGAAATAAAGAGGAAAAAAGAACCTACAACTTTAGTTTTCTCTTAAATAAAATGTAAATTTATAAATCCTGAAAATATATGAGCAAAAAACCCAATTAAAGAGACAATTATACATCAATTTTGATTTTGACAATAGGGGATTCCAAAACTTAGCACAAAGTTATTCCCAAAGTAACTCAAAATTTACCAACATATATTGTCTTAAGTAAGGCATTTATTTTGTTACTACAATTAGTCTGCATGTTCACCCAAAAAAAAGCAAAAAGATTTATCTACGTTTATCTTCCCTTTTTTTTTTCTTCAATTTTTTCAATCCTCATTATGCACATTTTCTTTTTGGTTTAAATCTTCAATACATACTCCCAACAATCACAAAGATATATAATGGCCAAGCCAACACTTTCTTATGGGGGGAAAAGAAATCTAGTGTATAGTGCAAGAGTCATTCAAATAAGCCATTATATTAGGTTTCTCGTAGGTCATACCAATCCATTCTATTTCATTCCACTACTTTAACATTCACCAAAACCACTCATAGAAAAGCTACAAAGACTACTACAACACCATTTACTAAGCTCCATAAGAAAGAAAGAAAGATTAAGAAAAATAATCTAGTGGAAAAAGCAAATGAAAGCAAAAAGTGAAAGCCATACTGTTTTTGTTTTTATTTTTATCATGTTTTATTGTTCATTAATACCATTTTGCTTCCAGCTTTTATGCAAATGGAAATGGAGCTTTGTTTAAAACATAACTACAAAATGGGGGAGGGGGAAATTTTTTATATTCCCAATAATCGCCGAAGACCCAATAAGTAACAGACCAAAAAATTTAACTTTTATCAAAATTATATGAGTAATGAAACAAATGTAATAAAGAAAAATTGTGTGAAAGGGTTTATACCTTTGATTATATCTAGAACCTAGAAATTGATAACCACCAGCAAAAAACATAGCACAATATGAAAACAGCAGAAAGTAACAAATTAAAACTTGGAAGAAAACTAATGATTAGAGGGAGAAAGGAAATGACATATTTATCAAAACTTTAATGAAAAATATTATCAAAGAAATCAAAAAAATAAATACCATTCATTATAGAACTGATGAATTGCGTCAAAATTGATGAACTGCAGCAAGAATAAATCAGATGTTAAAAATTGATTTATAGAAATATAGCAATCAAAACAAAGGAAAGAAAATAATTAATCAAAGTACCATTAATGTTTGTAGACAGCGGAAGGGAAAATATACATGGACGTCCATTATACACAAAGTAAATAAAAGAAAATAACGGTATCTTAGGTGACTTTGTCACGGCTCGAATCACTTTCATAGTTCATTATCATCAACATGGATGTCCATACTCTACAGAGTATAGCATTTTCAAAATAAAAAAAAATCACACCTAAAACACTAACTAAAGAAAAAAAATCATTTTTTTACAAAGATGAATGGAGTGATTGACAGCAAAAAAAAAAAAAAAAAAAAGGTCATTCAAATGTAAAGCATTACCCAAATCAAATTGATTCATTAAAATCACAATTCAACTGAAACACATGCATAACAAAACAAATGAGAAAAAATGTAATTGCTTGAGCTTTAAGCACTGCTTGAGTTATTGAGTCTAAAAAGAAGGGGGGGAAAAAATTAATAAACAAAGCTCGAAGTATAGTTTCTATCACAACATACCAATCCACATTCCCAAATAATAATAAAAAATTAGGCTTCTTACATAGTTGTACTTTAATGGAGGCTCCAATTACAGTCATTGGCCGAGTCTCATATTCTACAAGATTTAACCACTGTCATCAACATCTATAAGTAAACCTGAAATAATAGCAAAGTCATGCCACTTGAGGAATAATCAAACCAAGCAACCATATGGATTGAGAAACGTACAGTTAGTTGATAAAGTAAAAACTAGAGGATGTAAATGTTGGACAATCTTCACTGTATTTCAAATATAGATATATATTTTGTTTTTGTACTTAACAACAAACGGAATATAAAAGAAATAAAGGAAATGAGAGAGTTTGTTTCATTACAAAAATCAAACCATAAAATAAAATAAAATAAATAGATTTTTATTTTGTTACAAAAACAAAATCAAATTCTGAAAAAGAAAAATAATAAAACAAAAAAGTAAATTAATTACTTACCAAATTAATTTGTTGAATAAATTTTCTAATCAAGTCCAGTGTTTAACACAGTGTCCATAAGATAGATTCGTCCTCTCCATGGTGCTTTCAAAATATGGACGTCTATCTTCCAAGATAAAATGATCAATAGCAAACAATAGCACCACTACAAATTATTTGTACAACGAACACACTTTGTGTTTACACTATTTCTCACAAGAAAAATGCAGCAAAATGCAGAGATTTATCGCAGAGAAGAAGATGGAAATTTTGAATGAAAAATCCAAATGAGAACATGTCTTATTTATAGATGATTTCATGGCTGTACATATTTGAATGAACAGGTATGGTACCTGTTCGGTTTGAATAAATAGATACAAATATATTGGGTTCAAATTTTGAACAGATAAAACCTGTATTGAACAAGTTTGAATCTGTCCGGGTAGGGAAAATAAAACCGGAGCCAATTTTGAAATTAATTTTCAAAATTCAAATTCCAAAAAATTAGAAATTAATTTTAGAAAATAAAATTCAAATGTTTTTCGCCCAAAAAGATAGGTATTGGGCCAGACAAGCCCAACCCAACCACACACCACCACCCGACCG